TCTATCAATAAGAGTCAGTCGAAATTGTAAATTTGTTTTTTGGCCACCATTTTTCTTGTACATCACAAAAGAATTGTATATACAAAAATCTACTAAATGAAAAAATATTTTTCTATAGTACTTCTTCCCACCTTTTCTCACCACTGCATAGTCATGGAAATGTTGATCTAACAGGTCAACACCCCCCATTGTGTCATTGTAGTCGACAATGAGCTGTGGCTTTACAACAGACTTACCGGCATGTGTTCGTGTAGTTACCATGGCAGGATTGTAGACTGTAGACAGTAAAGCTACACTTTGCTTGTCCTGCCACTTCATAACCATTAGTTTACTTCTCTGGAAAGTGATTGTTTCTCCCTTTTCCAATTTTTGCCTATGGATTACTGGCAAAATCTCTCGTCTTATTGTGCGTACGGTTCCATAAAAATCCGTTTTGCACGTGACAAGATAATCCGCCAACTGTGGTAAAGAGTAAAATCTATCTGTTGTTAGACAATAGCCCTTATCTAACAACGAATCAATTAACGTTAGCACAATCAGTGAACTGACTGGCATATTTTTATACTTATCATCCAATGTAGTTGATTTGCCAGTATAAATCAGAAATTTATATAAATATCCTGATAAAGATTCACATAACTTACAAAATTTCACACCAAAACGAGAAAGACGACCCTTGTATAGCAACAAACTCTCATCGATGGATATGTCTCTTTCCGGTATATAAAATCGCAAAAATTTTGAATTTAGGTCTACAATTATCAGCCAAATTTTGTGCACTTTAGGATTGGGGTGTGTGTCTGGGTTATAAGTGTCATTATTTATGAAATGTAAATTTCTTTTTATATCTCTAAATCTATTTTTCGAAATTACTCTGCCAAAAAACAGAATGTGTAATTTGGCGTCTTTCGTCCAATACATCCTCTCCTCGGGTTTTTTTATAATACCTTGTAATATACATATACTAATGAACAGAAAAAATTATTCTGCAGTAAGTGGTGTCTAGTTACTGCGTGATGTTTGTGGCCGTTGAGAATGAAATCTATTTGTTTCATCAACAATATTATTGATAATATTTATATTAAAAAACAATTGGAAATAATCCAAAGGGTCACCCGTATTCCCAACGTCTACTGTCATTCCGGGATTTCCCACAAAAGGAAAACGCGGAGGAGCCGAAAATAGATTGTTCATATCTATTAGGCACCAGCTTTTTGTACTTGATGTGGATGCCACATCCATTTCCTATTCGCTTACATCCGATCCCGTCAGCCCACTAACTGCACTAGACCAACTCCCCTCAGACCCACTTGATGATCCTGGGATATATTCGTTATCCGAATCAGAAGACATTCTGCCAACAAAATAAATTATCTAAAATCCGTTCTTTTATATTATGCACGAGAAAACAATTTTCCTAAAGTATTATAATGATAAGTAACTTACTTGATAAGTAGCAACAACACGAGTGAAAAAAGCACACAAAAATATTTCAAAATTTTCAACACAAAATAAGCACACTAAACAACTCAAGAGCAGAACTATGAGTGAGAAAAATTACAGAATTGTTCAAAGAAAAACAAAGGGTCAGAAATCCTAAGAACCATCATCTGGCATCTTTTATTGCAGTCATAAATGGTAACAATTGAAAACTCCATTTTCAGAAAACTTTGTACATACAGGACAATAAACATTTCCAATCAACTATTTTATTGCTGGTTCCCCATCTGAAAATTGCTAATTACTTGCAGATGTTCAAAAGATTCTACATAAATGCTTTGATACATAAATAAACGTAAAAAAAATATAAATAAAATATATTTTTCTACTAAAATATTTATTGCATAATATACATGAAAATCTTTCGATAAACTGGTTAATTGATTGGTTGGTTGATTTTTGTTTATTGGCACAAAAGCCATATAGGCTATTCTGCACCAGGGCAAATGGTTAAAAAATTTTAAACATGATAAATAACTAACATATGACAATAATAACTAAATAAATAAACAACAACACGAAAATAAATATACACATAGTAAGTACAAACAGACAACAACATGCGAAAATGAAATAAATATATGAATAAATAATTAATTAAATTTCTTTATACATATTAATGACTTTTAAAAAGTCCAATACATTATAATGATTTGGTCTCTAGCCCAGAATCTCTTTCAAACTTGCATTTCCAAAATGCTGTCTACGACTGTTCTCAAAGGCAGAGGAATCAAGCAGTGTGTGTTTAACACTTAGAGAGCAGTTGCAATACTGGCATACTGGTTGCTCTTCATCCTTCAAAAGGTATTGATGAGTCAACCGAGTATGCCCAATTCTCAAACAACTAAGAATAACTTCAGATTGCCTGTCATACTGTTTGTTACATGTCCAATTTTCTATCGTAAGTTTGATCTCGTATAGTTTATTGTGGATTTGTGCATTCCACACATTTTGCCATCTCTCTACTAGTCGTTTTTTAACAACTAGCTTCAAATCACCTCCTTCAATACACATTATATGCTGTGAAGGACTAGCTGCCTTTGCAGCTGCGTCAGCTTCTTCATTTCCTTTTATACCTACATGGCCTGGGACCCAACAAAATTTTACAGAAAAATTACTCGCAATAAGATGGCAAAACAGTTTACGAATTTTAATCACTATGGAGTGAGAACTAGGTTCACATAAGATCAAAGCCTGAAGTGCACTAACTGAGTCAGTGTAAATCACACAGCAACGATGACATTTCCTATTTATATACTTTAAGGCTAAATAAATAGCATGCAACTCTGCCAAAAAGAATGGAAGAATTCAATGCAATTTGTTCTGCCAGGATGAAATCATGGCAGAACAAATTGCATTGAATTCTTCCATTTTTTTTTGCAGAGTTGCATGCTATTTATTTAGCCTTCCATGATTTCATCCTGGCAGACGAAGGCTGAGCCAACGTAATCATCAGATTTAGATCCATCTGTATAAATAGAAATTAAATTCCTGTCACAGCGTTGAATTTCTGCAAAGTGATGTCTGTAGACGTAGTCTGGGATAAATTCCTTTGGAAATTGCTTTAAGCTAATATCAACATTTATCACAGGAGTTGACCAAGGTGTTATACTATAAACCTCTAGCTGTGAAATGTTGCCTGTGTTCAGATCAATCCTGCTGCTCATATCCTCCATTCTTATGGCAAATGTACAGACACTACTTGGACGAGCTTCAAATAACCTTTTCAGCTGAGCATCTAATACTGTACAATCAACTGAAGGTTTAGTAACAGATTTTTGTTTTATATAATAGAAAAGAAACAGCTGTTCTCTCCTAAGAGACAGTGGAGGCTCATAAGCATCTACATACGAACTTTGTACAGAAGTTCGAAAAGCACCAGTGCCCAAACGCAGTGCTTGAAAGTGGATTGGATCCAGAATCCGAAGAGTAGATTCTCAAGCAGAGCCATAAACAATGCAAACATAGTCCAGCTTAGGGCAGACAAGGGCCCTATAAATCCTGAGCATAGAAACTTTGTCTGCTCCCCAAANACTAGCTGCCTTTGCAGCTGCGTCAGCTTCTTCATTTCCTTTTATACCTACATGGCCTGGGACCCAACAAAATTTTACAGAAAAATTACTCGCAATAAGATGGCAAAACAGTTTACGAATTTTAATCACTATGGAGTGAGAACTAGGTTCACATAAGATCAAAGCCTGAAGTGCACTAACTGAGTCAGTGTAAATCACACAGCAACGATGACATTTCCTATTTATATACTTTAAGGCTAAATAAATAGCATGCAACTCTGCCAAAAAGAATGGAAGAATTCAATGCAATTTGTTCTGCCAGGATGAAATCATGGCAGAACAAATTGCATTGAATTCTTCCATTTTTTTTTGCAGAGTTGCATGCTATTTATTTAGCCTTCCATGATTTCATCCTGGCAGACGAAGGCTGAGCCAACGTAATCATCAGATTTAGATCCATCTGTATAAATAGAAATTAAATTCCTGTCACAGCGTTGAATTTCTGCAAAGTGATGTCTGTAGACGTAGTCTGGGATAAATTCCTTTGGAAATTGCTTTAAGCTAAGGTCAACATTTATCACAGGAGTTGACCAAGGTGTTATACTATAAACCTCTAGCTGTGAAATGTTGCCTGTGTTCAGATCAATCCTGCTGCTCATATCCTCCATTCTTATGGCAAATGTACAGACACTACTTGGACGAGCTTCAAATAACCTTTTCAGCTGAGCATCTAATACTGTACAATCAACTGAAGGTTTAGTAACAGATTTTTGTTTTATATAATAGAAAAGAAACAGCTGTTCTCTCCTAAGAGACAGTGGAGGCTCATAAGCATCTACATACGAACTTTGTACAGAAGTTCGAAAAGCACCAGTGCCCAAACGCAGTGCTTGAAAGTGGATTGGATCCAGAATCCGAAGAGTAGATTCTCAAGCAGAGCCATAAACAATGCAAACATAGTCCAGCTTAGGGCAGACAAGGGCCCTATAAATCCTGAGCATAGAAACTTTGTCTGCTCCCCAAAATAAGCAGCATAGTAACTTTAAAACTTTACAGATTTTAGACATCTACTCTTCAGGTTGCACAAGTGTGGCAAAAATGTCAGTTTTTCGTCGAAAGAAACATCCAAAAACTTAGCTTCATTCACCATTGGAATTTTATCCACATTTAGATAAATTTCTAGATCCAGGTGCAAACCATGCCTTCGCTGCATTAAATGTTAAGCCATTAGTCTTGGACCAATCACATATGCGATTTAGGGATGTTTGCAGTTGTCTCTCAATGAAACTCATGTTACTAGACTGGCAGAAGATCTGAAAGTCATCCACATACAAAGAGTGTTTCGACAGTTAGCTATGCTGTTGATTTTGATTAAGAATAAAGTCACGCTCAAAATAGAACCTTGAGGAACACCTTCTTGCATGAAAGGCCTAGATAAAGTGTTGCCCATCCTGACATGGAATTTTCAATTTTGTAAAAAGTTTTTTATAAAAATTGGCAAATTACCTCGCAATTCGAATTCGTACAGATCACAAAGTATTGCCAACAGCGATCATAAGCCTTCTCTATGTCAAAAAACACAGAGACTAAGTGCTGTCGTCGAACAAATGCTTTGCGTATAGATGTTTCAAGGTTTACCAGGTTATCAGTAGTACTTCTGTTCCTACCAAAAACCACTCTGATGTGGTGAAAAGTATTCCTTTTTCTCTAAGAGATACATTAGACGTTTGTTTACCATTCTCTCAAAAACTTTACATAAACAACTCGTCACAGAAATTGGTCTGTAATTAGAGGGATTCTTGTGATCTTTACCTGATTTGGAATGGGAATAATGATAGATAGCCTCCAAGAGTCAGGAAAAGTATGTTCTGTCCATATTCTGTTAAACAGATTCAGAACATTACAAAGAGAATTGTTTGAAAAATTTTTAATCATGCTGTAGTGGATTTTATCTGGGCCTACAGCAGTATTCTCCAAACAAAACATTGCTGTATGTAGTTCTATGCTGGTGAATAACACATTATATTCCTCATTAGATAAGGAATGAAAGTTTAAATATTTTTTCACTTTGGGCTTTATAAAGATGAAAATTCCTTGAATACATAATATTGCTAGATGAAGAAGAAAACGTTTCACCCAGCAATACCCTGTATATCGCTGATTATTGTGCCATTCTTTTCCAGCATTGACAGAAAGTGAGAAGCATATTTCCCATTGAGTTTATGGATTTTATCCCAGACTGCTTTTGAGCTAGTGAAAGATGTTATGCTAGAAACATACTTCCTCCAAGAATCCCCTTGGCTTTGCCTTCTTATTCTTCTGGCATTTGCCTTTCGAAAAGCAGCTAAATTTCTAGCAGTGGGGTACCTTCTAAAAATTCCCCATGCTTTCTTTTGTGCTTTAAATGCTGCCTCACAATTCTGATCCCACCATGGTTTCGGATGCTTTGGGTATCTAGTTGATGTCTTTCCCATTGTTTTCTCAGCTGCCTGAATAATACTGGAAGTGACAACTTCAACTGCGTCATTGATATCAGCAGTATTGACCATTTTCTCAGTGATGTTAGCCAAAGAGGAGAATCCAGGCCAATCTGCCGTTTCCAGTTTCCAGCATGGTGGACAAGCTGTTTCACAGCTTTCTCTGCCTTGATATCTTAGAAATATTGGGAAGTGGTCACTAGAGGGTGGATTAGATCCAACCTCCCATGAAAATGCTGGAAACAGATTTGGAGTTGCTAATGAGAGATCAATGGCAGTGAAAGTTCTTGTTGGGGCATGGAAGTATGTCACATCTCCAGTATTAAGTAAATACATTTGCTGATTGCCTATGAGTCGTTCAATGGCTCTGGCTTGACGATTAATGTCGGGACTGCCCCACATAAAATTGCAGCCATTGAAACCACCCAGTAAAAGGAATGGAGTTGGCAGCTGTTCAACCAAGGCATCCAATTCATCCTCCTTGACTCTGACATCTGGTGGCAAGTATATAGTGCAAACTGTGACAGTTACTCCAATAGAAATTGTGACTCCCACAGCTTGTAAATCAGTGGTTATTTGTACCAGCAAAGATGGGATTCGATTGGAAACCAGAATAGCCACTCCTCCACTGGCTCGGTTGTGGCTATCATCATCCTTGCGGTAGAGATTGAATCCTTTGAGAGGAATATTTTCTCCAGGTTTTAGATGGGTTTCCTGGAGTGCCAAGCAGAAAGATGAGATAGATGATGTCAAGTGTTTAATGTCACAGAAGTTGTTGCGGAAGCCACGACAGTTCCATTGGATTATTTTATAATCCATTATGTGTTTGAAAAAGCATTCTTTGCGAGGGTATCCCTCTTTAATTTAACAGGCGGTTTCTGTTTTGGAGGTGACTTTGGTTTTGAAATCTCCATATAAGGCTCTTCATCAGATATGTCAGAAAACTCACTCATAGATTCAGCGTCTGATTGTTTTGAGACTTTGGTGAGGGCTGCTTTCACCCTTTGTTAAGTGGGTTCTTACTGGCTTTTTTAGAACCCACATTTCTGGTTGTTACTCCCGTTTTAGTTACAGAGGTTTTGGTCTTTGTGTTCTCCTTTTCTTCTGATTACACAGATGGGATCAATAAGCATTTTGCATGGCGAGTAAGAGATTCACTTGGGGATACAGAAATATCTGTTTGAACCCCCACATGTCTTAGTGGATTTCAACACACTAACAAATGTCTTTTGCTGCAATGGTGCACTTGGAGTGACCATGCAATGGGCCTCTGGGTATGATACGTTTTTCACCCGTTAAATGTCCTTTTCTCTTTGCCATGCAGGGCAAAGAGAATAGGCAGGATGGGCATCTTTACAGTTCACACACTGTGCAGTACTTTTACATTCAGTGCTATTGTAACCTTCAGTTCCACACTGTGCACATAAGCTTTTGCTTCGGCAGGAAGTCTGGGAATGTCCAAATCGCTGGAATTTGAAGCAACGCAGCAGATTTGGAATATACGGATGAACTGGGCAGCGCAGGTATTCTGCCGTAAGGAAGGATGGCAATGTCGAGTTGTCAAATGTGAGAATTAAATGTTTTGTGGGTATCAACTTGCCGTCTCGACGAATCGAGATGCGTCGGACAGAAGTGACACCTTGGTCCAACAGGCCGGTCTGAATGTCTGATTCGTCTTCAGACATCAAATCGTACTCAGATATCACACCACGTGATGAGTTCAAACTTCTGTGTGGTGTGACTAATATTCCCATGTCTCCGAGAGTCTTCATTGTCGAAAGCTTTGTTGTTTGTTGAGGGGAGGCTGTTTCTACTAGTAGGTCCCCTGACCTCAATTTTTGTATGTTTTTTAGATGCCCGATGGTTGATTCGAATAACTTTTGAATCAAAAAAGGAGAACACTTAGCGAGGGGTTTTTCTCCAGTTGCGTGCACTATTAAGTAAGCAGGTGGGCTGGAGGTCTTTTCTTTGGTCTTTGATATTGATGCTTCAGGATGTTTGGAATTTTTGGAATCCATAATTATAATTTAAATATTCAGCTCCCAGTGACCCCACCCACCATGGGGCCCAACAAGGGGATGCCGTCACATGGGAGACTCCCATAGACCGTCACACCAGGGTTTCCCAGGAGCTATACCCTCACAATGCAGTCAAGAAGAGCACATCTTGTCTGACATGTCCGCCCGGTCTGCATCGATCGGTTGACTCCAAGCCGAGGTCAAGAATGACTCAACGACCAGCCGATTGACTCAAATGGAGTCTGATTTGAGCCTCCCGTTTATCCGAAGCAGGGGCCAAAGCAGTGTGTTGGGGACGTTATGTTGCCCCTCAACTACCAGGATCCCCCTTTCCGGCATACGGGACACCACGCACGGCAAACACGTGGGTGGGCGTTCAGATCCCAGGGATGGTAAAGATAAGTTACTAAACCATCTCTGGGAGGTCCCCTCACCACGGACAGGAACCCACATCGAGGGGAAGTATTATTGACATACAGCGAATATTTGTTTAGACGAAGTTGCATTATAAGTCGTTTTATATTCAAATTTACTGGTTGCCATATATATGGTTGCATTGAAGGAATTTCAAATATTTCCAAGTACCACAAATGAAATTTACTGTTGAGAAACAAGTATTATAATAAGTGAAGATGATAATGACATTCATTCCAATGAAATATCTGATGAGGTCAATACTGAAATTGACGTATCAAATTATATAGTCAACAAAAAGTGCATTGGTGATGTATTTAAATCAACAATTTATGTAAATATTTAAACATGCGATCCATCAAACAAAGATAAAATGATAACACCTGGCAATGGCGAGGAAACTATTCGAGTGATAAAATGTAAAGAAGGTAATCTATTTGATGCTTTTGTTCATTTGTATTATAACTAAACATTGTCTTAATATGCGAAGAATTCTCAAATTTCCAGAATAGTTTACTTTAAAAATAATAATATTATGTTGTTAGGCATAAAGCACAGTTCTGACAAGTTTCAATACATTGTCAAACCCAATCTCAATTATATTTTAACGTGTTTGATATAGCAGTTTATAGATTCAATAGAAATTTCAAGAGAAATTTTTTAACAATAAGATTGACTTTGTTTTACAAAAGAAAGCGAGGAAGAAAACAAAGAACTAACAAAGAATAAAACTGAAAATTTGACAAACAAAATTCAAATCCAGGAAACAAAAAACGACGAAGATAAAAGTTTCGTTGGAGCAGAAATCATTTCGGAATCTGTTAAAATGTAAGAAAATCATTCGTTATTTCTACTTTTGTCGACATTTATATATAATATCTGTAATTTAATATAATAAATATTTATTTTATAAAATTAACATTTCCAAATTTGTAATGAACGTGAAATACTGTTGCAAATATCATTTATATTAAACAAAATTTATAATTAACTTATTAATTTAAATTATTTGAGATTTTGTGAATAAACATTTTAAAATGTTTTTCATGACAAGTATTTCAGTAGCGCACCCACAGGAAGGCAAAGATACTGTACTTGACACCCTTCAAATAAAAAGAAAAAAAATACAAAAATATTTTCCAAAAATCGTTTCCTAATTAATATTTCTTTTCATTTATACTGTGTCGTGATTTCTATTTCTATACAACTTTTGAATTAACGGTCACATAAGGTGGAAATTTTAGGTAATCATTTTTATGCTTAGAATATTTTGTTTTATATTAATTTTCATTTATTAAAATATTTATACTTTTTTTCAGGAACCTCCGAAACATTTGAACGTTGTGATGCAAATTCTCAGAAGAATGACATTTATCATTTTTCCTTGCATTAAACCAAAAAATTAATGTGATTAATTAATAACTAAAAAATTATATTACAATAAAATTTGAAAATTTCTAATCAAATTTAATAATGATTATCTGTAAATTTTGAACATATCAAATTAAATGATGATTTTCAAATTGACGTCTAATTAAACGTTTATAATTTCCTAATTAATATATTTAATTTAATGTATTTAAATTGACTAAATTAATAAACGTTATTTTCGAATTCTGTGTGAACTTCTTATTTATTTATTTTTTGATTTATCAATTTATATTATAGAGATGATGTAAATTACTTTACTGTAAATAAGATTCAAGCAGTAACACCAAATATATTATCAACTGAAGGTAATGAGAAATGTCCGAAATTATCTGATATATTCATGTCTGTTGAATTTACGGTCGCATGCTGCATTGCCAATTCTCAATTGTAATGGTCTCGCAGCCTTAGATCATCCCGATGTGTGTAATTTATTTTACCAATTAAATCAATTGTTTCCATTGACCAATATAGACGATTGTTTCCAAAATCGGGCCAGTTTAGTTTTATGTGAAATACGTAGTGGAGCTGGCCAATGCGGTCTGGTTCACTCCACTTCTTGCAGAGTCTTGGGACAGGTGAGCTACCTGTCCGGGTCAAGCAGCAATGTAGAACGATCAACTCAGGCATGCTTGGAGTTCAAATTGAATACAGTAGACCACCTCTATAACAGTGTAGATAATTCCGTGTTATATGAATTCCATGTTTACGAGTCACTTAGATTTTACTCTAAGTGACCCGTACAATATGAAATTCATATAGCACGGAATTATCTACAGTGTTATAGGGGGTCTACTGTATATGTTTAACTTTGAAATACGATCCTTCGTATTGTAATTGTGGCGATATAGAAATGATATAGAGAATATGTAGTATAAATGAATAATTAATTAAAATAATTAAAAAGGAAGAGTATATTTGAAAGAAATAATTTTAAAAATATTTACCTCAGTAAAACATATGAAAATAAATAACCAATGTATATATCTACCAAGACTTTAATTGCTGAAAATCAATGTTGAANTGTCAAACCCAATCTCAATTATATTTTAACGTGTTTGATATAGCAGTTTATAGATTCAATAGAAATTTCAAGAGAAATTTTTTAACAATAAGATTGACTTTGTTTTACAAAAGAAAGCGAGGAAGAAAACAAAGAACTAACAAAGAATAAAACTGAAAATTTGACAAACAAAATTCAAATCCAGGAAACAAAAAACGACGAAGATAAAAGTTTCGTTGGAGCAGAAATCATTTCGGAATCTGTTAAAATGTAAGAAAATCATTCGTTATTTCTACTTTTGTCGACATTTATATATAATATCTGTAATTTAATATAATAAATATTTATTTTATAAAATTAACATTTCCAAATTTGTAATGAACGTGAAATACTGTTGCAAATATCATTTATATTAAACAAAATTTATAATTAACTTATTAATTTAAATTATTTGAGATTTTGTGAATAAACATTTTAAAATGTTTTTCATGACAAGTATTTCAGTAGCGCACCCACAGGAAGGCAAAGATACTGTACTTGACACCCTTCAAATAAAAAGAAAAAAAATACAAAAATATTTTCCAAAAATCGTTTCCTAATTAATATTTCTTTTCATTTATACTGTGTCGTGATTTCTATTTCTATACAACTTTTGAATTAACGGTCACATAAGGTGGAAATTTTAGGTAATCATTTTTATGCTTAGAATATTTTGTTTTATATTAATTTTCATTTATTAAAATATTTATACTTTTTTTCAGGAACCTCCGAAACATTTGAACGTTGTGATGCAAATTCTCAGAAGAATGACATTTATCATTTTTCCTTGCATTAAACCAAAAAATTAATGTGATTAATTAATAACTAAAAAATTATATTACAATAAAATTTGAAAATTTCTAATCAAATTTAATAATGATTATCTGTAAATTTTGAACATATCAAATTAAATGATGATTTTCAAATTGACGTCTAATTAAACGTTTATAATTTCCTAATTAATATATTTAATTTAATGTATTTAAATTGACTAAATTAATAAACGTTATTTTCGAATTCTGTGTGAACTTCTTATTTATTTATTTTTTGATTTATCAATTTATATTATAGAGATGATGTAAATTACTTTACTGTAAATAAGATTCAAGCAGTAACACCAAATATATTATCAACTGAAGGTAATGAGAAATGTCCGAAATTATCTGATATATTCATGTCTGTTGAATTTACGGTCGCATGCTGCATTGCCAATTCTCAATTGTAATGGTCTCGCAGCCTTAGATCATCCCGATGTGTGTAATTTATTTTACCAATTAAATCAATTGTTTCCATTGACCAATATAGACGATTGTTTCCAAAATCGGGCCAGTTTAGTTTTATGTGAAATACGTAGTGGAGCTGGCCAATGCGGTCTGGTTCACTCCACTTCTTGCAGAGTCTTGGGACAGGTGAGCTACCTGTCCGGGTCAAGCAGCAATGTAGAACGATCAACTCAGGCATGCTTGGAGTTCAAATTGAATACAGTAGACCACCTCTATAACAGTGTAGATAATTCCGTGTTATATGAATTCCATGTTTACGAGTCACTTAGATTTTACTCTAAGTGACCCGTACAATATGAAATTCATATAGCACGGAATTATCTACAGTGTTATAGGGGGTCTACTGTATATGTTTAACTTTGAAATACGATCCTTCGTATTGTAATTGTGGCGATATAGAAATGATATAGAGAATATGTAGTATAAATGAATAATTAATTAAAATAATTAAAAAGGAAGAGTATATTTGAAAGAAATAATTTTAAAAATATTTACCTCAGTAAAACATATGAAAATAAATAACCAATGTATATATCTACCAAGACTTTAATTGCTGAAAATCAATGTTGAATATGTAAAATAGTTAGTTCACATTGTTTTTGACAGGTTAATTACATGATATTTCAATGATATGGTGATAAAAATAACATTTAATTGCAGCATTTCGTACAAACATAATAGAAAATTTATATCAGTTGTAAATGCGGTAATTGTAGTCAGTGGTCATTAAGCGGGGTCATTCCTCTACATGTAATTAGATATTACTTAAAAATGCAAATATAAACGAAATAAAGCAATAGTTATATGTAGTGTAATATAAGATATTTATTTTC